GTATTTAAAAAGGGTGCCTTTGGCTCAGCCTGTAATCCCAGCACTTTGGGAGACCAAGGCAAATGAATTGTCTGAGCCCCCAGGTTCGAGACCAGCCCGGGCAGCTTGGCGAGCCCTTGCCTCTACAATAAATAAAAAATTAGCTGGGTGTGGTAGTGCACACCTGTAGTTCTGGTTACTTGGAAGGCTGAGGCAGAAGGATCACTGGAGCCCAACAGGTTGAGGCTGGGGGGCCGTGAGCATGCCACTGCACTACAGCCTGGACGACAGAGAGAGAGTTCAACTCAAAACAAAAAAAAAGAGTGCCCTTGAAAGCTGGGTGTGTGCTGACCTGGTCTTGGCTGAGATGATGAAGGGACTAGATGACAAATGAGGAAATGATGTTTAGTGCACACCTGCTGTGCACCAGCTCACTACCTGTCATCTCATGGGATTCTCCTAACAGCCCACGAGGACTGACTTTATCCTGTTCATCTTCAAGATGTGAAACAGGTTTGGAGGGAGTGAGTCACTGGCTGTGGCTCATGTGCTCCTCCCTCCGCTGGCACCGGCGTCCAACAAGGTGGGTGTTATTCCTGCCAGCCAGAGGACCTGACTTGCCCAAGATCACAAAGTAGACATGTCTCTCTGTCCCCAGTCCCCAGGTGTCCTGGGAGACACTGGTCCAGGTTTGGGGTTCCCCTGCTCCTGTGCCCTCCTCCTCCACCCTGCCAGACACTGCTGGACCTTCAGGAATGAGGGGACAGTCCCACCCTCCCCCCTCCCCCAGGAGCCCCACTAGCCCACACTTCCAAGGGCACCTTCCGCAGTGCCTGCTCCGCCTCCCGGTTCTCCATGACCAGGTTGTGGAACTGTGACCGCAGCAGCTGGATCTCCTGCTGGATCTTGGCCACCCTGGCCTGTGAGGCTCCGAAGTCCACCTTCTGCTGCTTCTCGGCCTCCTGCTTAGTGTGAAGGAGGCTGTTCTCTGAGAACTTGAGCACCTGGTGCAGGTGGTTTTTCAGCTCTTGGATCACAAAGTTCCCCTTCTCTACCTGGGCCAGGAAGAGAAAGGGCTCCATTCATACCTGCGTGATCACAGCCAGTCACGGGAGCAGCTGGCCATTACTGCCCCCTCTCCTAGGGCCGGGCAGGCCACCTGCATTGCTCTTTGCTGAACCCTACCCCCAGCCCCACCATGGGGGACAGACAGCCTGATTACAGACAAGGAAACTGAGACTCAGGAGGTGGAGTCATCTATAGGGTTACACAGCTAGTTCGGATTTGAAGCCAGGTCTGTCTGACCCAGAGCCCGTGTTCTTCTTTTGTTTGTTTGTTTTGCAAAGATGGCATCTTGCTATGTTCCCCAGGCTGGCTTGGAATTCCTGGGCTCAAGCGACCCTCCTGGCTTGGCCTCCCAAAGTGCTGGGCGTCACCGCACCCAGCCGCAGCCCCTGTCCTTGCCACCACCTTCTATTTTCTTGCATGAGTGATTGAGTGGCAGGCACAAGCCTGTTGCAGTGAGGCCACAGGAGAGTCTGGGACAGCAGCCATGCTCCCACTGGGGGCACAGCAAGCTGGCAGAGACACTTGGCATGACGTGTGAAGGTGTGACATACACACACACTGCAGGGATTGCCACTGGGCTCTCCCTTGAGGGCCTATCCCTGACTTTTCCCATCGGGGTCAGTTCTAGAACAGGAATGGGGGTGGAGGAGGAGACTGTTTCATAAACAACCAGAGTCTCCATCTGAACACAGCAGTGCTAGGGCGGCTCACGCCACAGCCCTGGGCAGGGTCACCTGGCAGCAGGGCTGCAGGGATCTGACCTCGCTTCCCTCACACAGCAGGCAGGGAGGGGGCACCTTCCACCTGCCCTTTGCTCTCAGGACAAACCAGATGCCTTGATTAGACCAACCCCTGTCCCTTCCCTCTAGTTTCCAGGCATTGTTTGGGTTTCCAAAGAGATCCAGGCTTATTTGTAAGTAATACTGCCCTTTAATTTACATATGGTTTATGGCTGCTTTGACACTATAGCAGCAAAACTGAGTTGAATAATTGTAGCAGAGACCATGTAGCCCACAAAGCCTAACAGATTTACTCCCTGGCCCTGTGCCAACCCCCTAGCCTGGAAGGTTCTTCCTCATCTCACTTGCCTGGTCCACGCTCTCACATCCTTCCTGTCTTGGCTTCAGTGTCCCTGACACTTTTGGTCCAAGTTCAGTTCTCCTGCAACTCTCCCTTACAACACCCTGTACTTACCCTTCTCTGTGCTTCTCAAAACTGCACTGAAACGAGGTCATTCACACCTAACTTCCCTACTGTGGACTCCAGGAGGCTGGGACTGTGGGTTTATGTATAAGACCTGGAACCTAGTAAGTGCCCAAAGCAATGTGTGGAGTAAATGAATGGGGGGAAGGGGCTATTTAAATTGTTGGAAAAACATCCAAAGGTCTGGGCCACTGACGGGCTCCCTCTGTAACCTGACCAGCGCTGGGAAGCCATACCTCTGCTTTCCTGCTCTTCGTCCTTGCCACCAGCTCGTTTTCCAGAGCGTCAATAACCTCTTGGTTCCTTCTGTTCCGCCTGCTGATGTCCTGCATGAACTGGGTCTTATCCCGAGCTTCCATGGGGCTGGTGAGTAGCTTCTCAAACAGGAAGCCCCGGAGCTCCATGAGGCTGTTAATAAAATGCTGGGCCTTTGCACTTCTGCCCAGCGCCTGAGTGTGCAGGAGCCTGGTGGCTTGTGGGTTCTGGAGCAGGAGTCTCAGGACATCCCTGGTGGAGTCCTTGACCTGCTGCATCAGCGGCGGGAGGCTGGACTTCTGCCTCTGGATGGAGAGGCGACGAGCCTGGAGCCATGCCTCCTCCTCGATCTCCTCCTCCTCCTGCAGCTGCCTTTCCTTCTCCTGCAGGCACCTGACTTCTTCCAGGAGTCGCTGGCAGTGGGTCTCATGCTGCCCTACCGCCCTCATGATGTCCTCCCCCAGGATGCCCGCCACGTCCTCTGGGTTGGACGCCGCATGTGACAGCAGGGTCACCAGCTCCACCTTGTAGATGGCCTCGTCCAGGACGGACATGATCCTTTTGGCCTCAATGGTGGTGAGCTTGGTGTTGGAGGGGACCAGGGGCTTCGATGAGTCAGCTGGCTTTCCAGGTGTGTCTGTCCTTAGCCCCTCCCTGCTGGTGGTGGGGACCTGGTAGAAGGGAGCCACAGCAAGCATGTCCGAGGCCATCTTGTGACAGCCTCCTTGGCCCTGCACGTCCTCAGAGATGGTGACCTCGTTGGACAGTCTGGGGCATGCGCCTTACTGTCTCTGGCAACCCTGCAAAGGGAGGGGGTGTTGGTGGCACTGCTGATATCCATGTGGCAAGGTGGCCACAGCCACCCGCTGTTGACAGTGAGGGCTCATCCTTGGTGTTCTGCTGCTTGGTAAAACCTTACCTGGAAGCAATTTTCAGCTTTGTGAGGGTGTCAGGGCTGCAAGGGTAGGAGGACCAGAAGTGGAGGTAAGACTCTAGCCCACAGAGAGACCGCTCTAAAGATCTAAATGTAGGACACTGGTCTCGTCAGTGATGGGAGAGGGGAGAGGGGAGAGGCCAACCAAGGCTTTCTCATTGGCCAAAGCCACCAGCAATTGTCAGTGACAGGAAGCCACTGCTGAAGGGAGAGGTGGGGAGCCTGGGGCCCAGGTCACCCAGGGGAAGCTTGAACCAAAGCCATCAGCTCCCAGAGGAGCTAGAGCCACTGTGGGAAGCACAGTCCAACCTGCTTCTCCCTTCCTCCCACCTCTGCCTGATGCCTGAGCTTCTCATTGGCCAAAACCAGCAGGAAGCCAACTGCCAAGGAAGCCTGGGCCAGGCAGCCTGCAGGGATCAGCAACCCAAGACCCAGAGCAGGCCAGGAGGTGGGGGTTGGGGGACAAACAATGGTGCCATGAGGAAACAGGACTGGGACCAGCATGTTTTCACTGATTTTTAAGCACCGATTTTAAAAAGTGGGGTGGGGGCATGAACAAAGACTTCAAAATACAATTTTAAAAATGGTTTCACTGAATGCGATGTCATACCCTTGGAGTGGATCCTGGGATGGAAAAAGGACATTAGGTGGAACAACATAGAGAAATCCAAGTGCAGCTGAAGTGGAGCTAACAGCCCTGCACCACGAGAATGACAAACACATCAAGGTCATGTAAGAAACATTAGGGGAGCTGAATGAAGGCATGCGGGAACTCTCTGTACTGTCTGTGAGACTTCTCTGTAAATCTACAATTTTTAAAAAATGAAAATCTTATTTAAAAGACTGTTTCAGGCCGGTGCGGTGGCTCAAGCCTGTAATCCCGGCATTTTGGGAGGCTGAGGTGAGAGGATTGCCTGAACCTGTGGGTTCGAGACCAGCCTGGGCAACATGGTGAGACCTTGTCTCTACAATAAATCAAAAAATTAGCCGGGTGTGGTAGCACACTCCTGTGGTTCCAGCTAATTGGAAGGCTGAGGTGGAAGGATCGCCTGAGCCCAGCAGGTCAACGCTGGGGTGGCTGTGAGCATGCCACTGCACTCCAGCCTGGGCGATGAAGTGAGACTCCAACTCAAAAAAAAAAAAAGACTTTCAGAAAAATCTACAGAGACATTCAGAGATGAATAATTCATTCATTTATTTATTATTTTTTGTAGAGATAGGGTCTCACTTGGTTGTCCAGGCTGGTTTTGAACTTCTGGCATCAAAGAGTCCTCCCGCCTCGGCCTTCCGAAGTGCTGGGATTACAGGTATGAACCACTGTGCCTGGCCAGAGATCAATAATTTACATTGCTTCCATGGTACAGTAGCTGGGGACCCTGGGTCAGACACTTAATTCCCTAGGGTCTGGGCTTCCGTACCTACAAAATAGGAATCCTCAGGATTGATGCAAAGCTTCTAGTACCTCCTGGTCACTGTGTTTCACAGATAACCCATAGGATTAGCCCAGGAAATGGAAATTCCCATTCCAGGACTCCTGTGACTTCCATTGTACCTACTGAAACCTACCCGCCACCCCAGGTGGCTGCCCCCACACACCATGTTTCAGAGGGACCCCATCATGGGCACCCAATCCTCCTCTATCTCTTCTTCCGGATCTGATCACTTGTCCAGGCTAAGATCACCATCGGATGTCTCCAGATGGACTCGTTTATTTCTTGTCTGTCTTTTCCCCTCCCAAGGAGGAGGATCCAGTGAAAGGAGGGGCTTTGTCTACTCTGGTTGCTGCTGTGTACCCAGCTTGGGAAAAACTGACCTCATCTTGGGACAAGATCTGCCGTCACACATGTGGGTGGAGAGTGGCGGGCGCTGACTCCTGGGACCCTGCAGACCCTTCCCTGAGGCCCCAGGACTTCTAGAGCTGTGTTCCTCCCTGAGGCTGGCTTCTTCAGCTCTTCCTTCCCCACTTTGCTTAGCCAGGGTCAGTTTCCGTTGCTTGCAATCAAAGAACCCTAAACCAGAGCCTCCAGAGAGGCCATGGGGATGGAGGTGGAAATGCAAGAAAGAAGAGAGTGACACTTGTCTTTTTTTTTTTTTTTTTTTGAGTTGGAGTCTCACTCTGTTGCCCAGGCTAGAGTGCAGTGGCATGATCACAGCTACTGCAGCCTCAACCTGCTGGGCTCAGGTGATCCTTCACCTCAGCCTTCCAAGTAGCTGGAAATGGGCCCAGCCAATTTTTTTTTTTTTTTTAATTGTAGAGATGAGACCTCGCCAAGTTGCCCAAACTGGTCTCAAACCCCTGGGCTCAAGCAGTCCTCTCACCCAGCCTCCCAAAGTGCTGGGATTACAGGCAGCAGTGATATTCGAAGCCACAAAAGATACCTTCAGTTCATAAAACCAAGAGTAAACGAAAGAGAAGGGGATGGAACAAAGACAAAACAAAGGTGACTAAGATGCTCAGCTCCTTGGCTAGGCAGAAGGATCCCAGGTCAGAAGCCCCTCTGGGAGCTGAAGCCTGAGGCCGAGAAGGGCACCATCTTGGGTCACTTTCATTCATGCCCACTTCCTGCTCCCCAGTCAATCTCCTGGGAGCCTTTGAGGCTCTTCCTGTCCCTGAAAGTTTTGGGACAGCCATGGAGTCTCCTTGGCCTCTCTGAGGATGAAGGATCTTTGCTTATGGCCCCAGGATGAATGTGAACAAAGTCGTTAATGAACGCGCTGCTCCCCAGTGTCCCCCAAAGCTCTCAGGCATAAATCAAAATGCCCAAATTCTTCAGAGATTGCGCCTGGAAGTGCTGCGTTATATGAAATGTTGCCAATTTGCTTTCAGCCAAATTACTTCTTTTGCTTTAAAGGGCAAACTTGTTTTCTTTGATTATGATGACGCCCATCAGTTCTTGACAGCTCATTTGGGTGAACAAGAAAAAGCCAGTGGAAGTAGGATCGGGGGGAAATGCATCTGACTCTGATGACAAAAATCACCCAAGAATCTCCTTTCCTTGAATTCTAATATGAGCATTTCATGTCCTTTTTAATGCCACCAACCTTAATATTTAAATCATTTCCAACTGAAGCCTCTCCTTTTAAAATTCCTGCCCTGAGAGTGAAACAAGATTGTTAATGGATGGAGAACTTTAATTGGATCTTCCTTTATTTGTCATTAATTCTGCTGATGAACTTTATAAATGGAAATATATCTTTATCATGCAAATTACCCCTTGTCTTCATTCAAATAGGCTTGTTGGACATTTTATTACTTTCGCTCTCAGAACATTTTGAGAAAAAAAACTCAACCTAAATTATATACTTTTTTCCTCTGAAGAGGAAAAAGGGAAGAAAACTCAATGCCTACAACTAACCTACAAATCCAAACTGGTACGTGGAAAAGTCAGGGTGTTTTAAAAAACAAAAACTAGCCAGGCTCGGTGGCTCAGCCTGTAATCCCAGCGCTTTGGGAGGCTGACATGAGTGGATTACCTGAGCCCGCGGGTTCAAGACCCGCCTAGGCAACTTGGCGAGACCTCATCTCTACAGTAAATCAAAAAATTTAGCTGGGCGTGGTAGCGCGCTCCTGTAGTTCCAGCTACAGCTACTTGGAAGGCTGAGGTGGAAGGATCGCCAGAGCCCAGCAGGTCGAGGCTGCGGTGGCCGGGAGTGGCCACTGCACTCCAGTCTGGGTGACAGAGTGAGACTCCAACTCAAAAAAAACCAAAAAAACCTAGTGTGTGGGCAGGTGTGGGTCTCATTTAAAGGATACCATTTTAATTTTAGCTAAGTAAGTTCTTGAGAACTTCCTGTGTACGATATGCTCTTCTAAATACTATCTACAGATTAACTTCTTTAATCCTCACAATGACCCATTGAGATAGGTGCTATTATTGCCTCCATGTTACAGATGAGGACAAGGAGGCAGAGGGAGATGTTATACAGCTCTCGTGAGTTTCCAGCTAGAAGTGACAGAGCTGGGAGTCAGCCCAAGCAGTCTGTCCTTGGAACCTGCCCCCAGCACCACCCTTCTGGCCAGGCTCTGGATTTTAAGGCTGACTTCTGTGGTGGAGCTACTAGAATACTTCTTTGCTGGTCGGGTTTTAGTGAATCCTGTTGGTAGAGACCTAGAGAATAGATGTGTTGAAGATTCAGTTCCCATAGCTTTCAGTCTGCTTAACAACTATAACTATGAGTACATATGTTCGTATTCATAATTGTTGTTGTACATATATACACACACGTGTGTAGGTATATAGGAATATAATTAACACTGACAATGAATATACGTGGCTGTGTGTCCACAACTGAGCCGTATTTCAGACACACACACACACACACCAGGGCCTCAGCAGAAATTCTGGGAGAGCGGGAGGAAGTCAGGAACATGGCTGGCACTGGGAAGGGGCAAGGGTCATCAGCACTGGTGTCTCAGGAGATTATAATGTGGAGGAGGTTCATGAGACAGAGAAGGATTGCTAGAGTCTTGTAAGGAAGACATGTGGAAGTGGGGAGAACGGGGGTCCTAATACTGGGCGGGAAGATGAGAAGGCCTTTGGAAATTACATTGAAAACCATAAAACATAGAAGAAAACATAGCGTGACATTGTACACGCATGTCTTTATGACTTTGGATTTGGCAATGAATTTTTTTTTATTTATTCGAGTTGGAGTCTCACTCTGTCACCCAGACTGGAGTGTAGTGGCCACTCCCGGCCACTGCAGCCTCGACCTGCTGGGCTCCGGCGATCCTTCCGCCTCAGCCTTCCAAGTAGCTGGAACTACAGGCACGTG